GGCTGTTGGGTTGGGTTGGGTTGGGTTGGGTTGGGTTTGGTTTGGGAAACCGAAGGTTTGAGCAAGCATTCAGCATGATTAATACATGCAGGTGAATGCACTCGTTATGCGTTTATGAGTTCCTGGTGCCAAAACCGCGTATATAAATACGATAACAGACGTGTAGAAAATCAGTGTGTTCGTTTAGTGATCACAGTAATCTACTACTATTGCTCTTGCTGCTGCACAGTACGTTTTTTCGCTTATTATTATTTTATAATATTATTATTATTATTATAAATAATGAATACTTCAAAAACTGAAGATTGTTCTACCGCTCCTGAATCTCAAGAACTTTTTGTCCAGGACAACGAAGAGGTTTTCGACATTTTTACGCAACAGCCCAACGGTGACGTCTCCTCAGAATTGGAATCGGCCAAACGAGAACTATTCGTTGACCCTTGTTGGTCAGAGGAAGTACGTACTTACAAAAATCTTTTACTACATTCACAATGGAAGAATATCAAGGAGCTCCTGCCGANTTTTACTACATTCACAATGGAAGAATATCAAGGAGCTCCTGCCGAAACAAGAAGACATGGACGTGACGGACGTGGTAAGACAAAAATATTAGTACAACAGCCGTATTTTGTTTCTATTAATATTTTTGCTTTACAGATAATGGCTTTGTCGGCGTGCTTGCACGTATCCGGCAACGCCGAATTGCTGCCAGTCCATATACTCCTACTGTATCTGGCCAACAATTGTCTATAATATTAAATCAATGGAGCGTACAACAGTTTTGGGATTATTATTCTTCACCGGGTGTACGGCCGTATTTTAATTTGTACGCCTTTACTAATTGTAAATCGTCATTTTATTATACACCAGCGGAATCGCTTGAAATCGCCGTTGAATTGTTATCGTATCAGTGTGCTCGTTTAGTGTTCACAGCATCTTAGCTCTGTAATCCACTGACTAGTACGTTTTATTTTTTCATTCTCATTACTATATACTATATTGTAATACATTATGAATAATTCTACTGAAGATTGTGTTGCTGCCGCTTCTACTGCTGAATCTCAAGATATTTTTGTACAAGAAGACGAAGAAGTGTTGGACATTTTCACACAAAAAACTAACGGAGAATCTACCTGTGAAATTGATTCGGCCAAACGTGAACTTTTTGTGGACCCGTGTTGGTCAGAGGAAGTTAGAACGTACAAAAATCTCTTTTTGCATTCATTATGGAAGAACGTCAAGGACCTCTTGCCGAAACAGGAGAACATGGACGTAACAGATTTGGTAAGACAAAAATATTAATACAATCGCAGTATAATGTTTCTATTAATATTTTTGCTTTATAGATAATGGCTTTGTCGGCGTGCTTGCACGTCTCCGGCAGCGCCGAAATGCTGCCGGTCCATATACTCCTCTTGTACCTCGCCAACAACTATCACTACGGGGCAATGACGCCGATGGGGCTAACGAAATTGTTACAGAAACTACCGCCACCACAATTGTGGAAAGAGACCGAAGTTCAAGTGTCCTCAATCAACTCAGACAGCACTATCTCGCTCCTGGAGGCGGTATGGGCGGAGTGACCGATCAGCCAACTGATGCTCTGGGCGGACGCGCGGATACGGCTGATCGGTCACTCCGCCCATACCGCCACCTGTGGCAGTGAATGTACACTACACTGTCGTCGTGTCGTCGTCGTCGAAACCTATGAAGGTTTGAGCAAGCATCCAGCATGATTAATAAATGCAGGTGAATGCACTCGTTAATGCAAATGCGTTTATGAGTTCCTGGTGCGAATACCGCGTATATAAATACGATAACGACTCGTTGGTAAATCAGTGTATTCACACACTTGCGCTCTTGCTATTTCTCTTGTGTTTTGTAGTACGTAAACACTTTTTTTGACTTTACAATTTTACTTGTATTTTTTTTTACGATAAATAATAATGAACAATTCTATCGAAGACAGCAGTTCAGCAGCCGCAGCAGCTCAAGAATCGCAAGAGATTTTCGATTCGTCCAACGACGAAGTCTTGGACGTTTTTACACAGGAGAATCCACGTTCAGAGGTAGAATCGGCGAAACGCGAACTCTTTGTCGATCCTTGTTGGTCCGAAGAGGTTCGTACATATAAAAACCTGTTCTTGCATTCGGCATGGAAAGACGTGAAGGAGTTGATGGGCAAACAAGAAACGATGGACGTAACAGACTTGGTAAGGCAAAAATATTAGTAAAACTTTTGTAGTACGATTCTATTAATATTTTTGCTTTATAGATAATGGCTTTGTCGGCGTGTTTGCACGTCTCCGGCGACGCCGAGTTGTTGCCAGTCCATATCCTTCTGTTGTATCTGGCCAACAATTATCATTATGGGACAATAACTCCAATGGGACTAACCAAGTTATTGCAGAAGTTTCCACCACCTCAGCTTTGGAAAGACACTATAGTACAGACGGCTCTNACAGTTATGGAAAGACACACAAGTACAGACGGCTCTCTCCACCTCAACCGGCACTATCTCGCTCCTGGAGGCCCTGCGTGGCGCGGCGGCGCAATTCTCGAGGACATTGACAACTGGCTGGCAGAACAAGCCAGTGAGTTGTACAATCGATGCGTGGCAGGTCCTCGCACGAAAAGATACTATTCGTGGATTTTTGTCCCCCATTCAGTTGGTGGACTTGATTCTATCGTGGAGGACCTGGAGAGAGGATTGCGTTACTGCATCACGCGGGGCTCGAATGTCGACATTGTCATCATTGCGAGGCATGATGACCACATCCACGTCAACCACGTCTGCACCAGCTCCAACTCCAGCTGCAGATGTTCATGGTTGCGTGGAAGTGAGTCCTACAGGACGTTCCGAAAACCACAATTGGCGCGAAATGTTCGAGCGGCTGACATCGACACCGCGGGATGGACGAATGTCCTACGATATTTCACTAGCGGTGGCCGACGTGTCGAGCGCCTTATCGTTGGAAGTGAGTTTTTATTTTTCTACATTATTTTCATATATTTTGTTCTAACGAAACAATTAATTTATTTTAGGTCGAACCCGACGATCTCCTGTGGGAGCTGAAATGTTACAGGAGACGGGACGTCCGCGGTCTAGACAAGTCGGAATGGTGGAAGAGGGCTCATCTGAAAATGACGGGAACTTGTGCGGAGAGCCTTTCGGAGCAGGGTCGGCTGATAGACCGGTTGGTTGCCTCAGTGACGCGGCAGTTGTCCGACAACCCGGCAACGCGCCGCAAGAAGCTCGTCAAGTACGACAAGAGATAGTCGACCTGCTCCTCAAGACTGGCGGTTCTGCTGACGGCACTATTCTTAAAGGTCGTAAACGAAAACAAAGGGAAATAGAGATTTTAATTAGACTGTACCCTACATGCCCCATTAATGCGGTTAATAAAACATTAGAATTCATTAATAATATTCATACTAAATATATTCCTGGTTCCGATAAAGATCTAGCCGTAATTATTAAAAATTGGTCCGTCATATTGAATCAGTGGAGCGTACAACAGTTTTGGGATTATTATTCTTCACCGGGTGTTCGGCCGTATTTTAACTTGTACGCATTTACAAACTGTAAGTCGTCATTTTATTATACACCGGCCGAGTCGTTGGAAATCGCCGTCCAACTACTACACTTTCAGTTCGACGGCGATCTCGAACGAATACATAAATTTATGTACGATTTATTCGATGTGGTGGAGAAGAACGTTCCAAAACGTAATACGCTTTCTGTATTATCGCCCCCAAATGCCGGTAAAAATTTTTTCTTCGACGCTGTATGTTCCTATTTTTTAAATTACGGCATTATTTCAACGCTCAACAAACACTCGCCGTTCGGTTATCAAGACATGGACAACAGGCGGCTAGTTCTATGGAACGAACCCAACTACGAGTCCAACGAGACCGAAACGCTGAAAATGTTGTTGGGCGGTGATAGTGCTAAAATTCGAGTAAAATATTTGGGGGATCAGGACATACAGGGTCCTCCAGTAATTATTCTCACTAATCACTTTATTCCTTTGTTTTCTGATCCGGCCTTTGAGAGTAGAATTTGTCAGTACGAATGGAAGGCTGCACCTTTTCTGCGACAATACAAAGGAAAACTTAACCCGAAAATGTTTTACTTACTTTTACAGAAATTTAAATTATTATAAATGTGTATATATATGTAAATAATAAACGCAAAAAAATATTTATAATTATGGTCTTTTATTTTTTAATAAGTTATACAGAGGATTATACCGTCCTTTCTTATTTACATAATTATACTTGTCGGCTAGTTGTTCGCCATTTTCAACACCAGGGAAGTACATAGCTGTTATTTTGTTCATTTCGTCTTGACTGGCTTTTCTGCTGGTACTCGCCACTCTGTATGTATTCCATTGTACATCCGACAATACACCGGCAAAGTACAAAGCGCCGTAACCATCGAAATAATATCGGTCTTGAGTATCTGGTATGTACTCTGATGGAGCATCATCGGTATCGTCGCTTCTGGCTGCAGCCGTTGCGCTTGTAGTGGACGCTGGCTTCACAGTAGTAGTACTAGTAGTAGTAGTAGTAGTAGTAGCTGCAGTTGACTGTCCGATAGTGATATCACTGGCGGGTGTAGTAAGTGTGACGGGAGATGCAGTAGTTTTAGATGATTTTGGTTTTTTTTTGGCGGCCAGATTTTCCCGAACAGTTTGGAAAACGGCCGCCGCTATTAGTTTTCCGCGTCTACTTGTTTCAGAGCGTGTCTACCGTAACACGTAGAGTAATTACCGTCCGCTTCGGCTACACCAGCGTCAACACCCATTGTAAACATTTCATTTTCAACGTTAACGTTGCAATTTTTAAATCGTGCCAGGGCAGTGGGATAACCAAATTTAACTATGCACGTANGTGCCAGGGCAGTGGGATAACCAAATTTAACTATGCACGTAGTTTCGACGGTGTAGTACGCTTCAATGTCTAGAAATTTCGTTGGCACAACAATATTGTCCTTTGCTGTTACCCGTGGCACCGGGTAAACGCCTACGTGTAACGATGGTTGGGCCTCGGACGGCGTGTAATTAGATTTTAGAGACGTACCAACTCTGTATCTTTAAAACTCTATTTTCTACGATTTTTTAAAGGTTTTCGTGTAAAATACAGAAATCAGTAT